TAAAAAGGTCAAATTTCACTTGTTTTGCATCAATCTTGATACAGGGTACTTATTATATGTTGTACTTTGGATTCCTAAAGCTTTTAGTCTACTAACCCATCATCCAAGGGTAGTTTTCACTATCTGTAAAAAATAATTTTTGGACGGACACTATAATTTACAGTTTTTTACTATGTAAAATCTGAATTTTCTTTAAAATAAAAAACATTTATATTGATTCTGACACTTCTACATCCAACTCACAGGTTTATCATTACTTTGAGAACAAAGATTATTAATTTAACCCTTTTAGAAGGGAAGATATGGTCATTTGTTCTGGGAATGTCATTTTTGAGCCTGAGACCTGAAAAACAGGCTCAGAGTGGAACAGGTTAAATAAGAAAAAAGCTTTGGGGGTATCTACAGATATTAAGCCTGACAAAGTACTTAACGTCTAATATATTGCATGGTTTGGAACTTGACAATCAACTTTCCTGCAATGTTAACTATGTTGAAGCACTTATTTTAACTGATATTATACATATTAATTATACTCTTATAAGATGTATGTAGATAGTATAAGAAATGTGCAGAATATGTTTAATGGTGGAGGTACACAGATATCGATAGATGTCTTGTAATGCACTGTTGATGAACCTGTGACCCAAGTTTTTCATTCATTGCATAACTACACCGTAGTTGTGTATATGATATGTCAATAAACCTTAGAAAATCTTGAAATCTTGAAAGGGATGTGCAAAATAGCCATTACAAATAGTGTATATACAGTTTTTAATTAACTATTAGTAGAGAATAACGAGTAATGAATATGCTTTATAGGGATCTGCAGATAAATATTTAGTCTTCTCAAGCACCCACTACCAAATATCTCGCCTGATTGTTGGCTGAATTCACTGAATTTTACTCAGGTGTAACTAAAGTAAAAGTTTTTAAAGTAAAAAATACCAGGTTAACTGGTTTTTAAAGTAAAAATACCAGGTTAACCTTAAAAAAAGCCCTCAGGATTATAAAAGACCCCCATTACCCCAGCCACAAACTGTTCTGTCTGCTGCCGTCTGGCAGGCGGTACCGCAGCATCCGGACTAAAACCACCAGACTCAGGGACAGTTTCATCCCACAGGCAATAAGACTATTAAACACCTGAACTTTGAAACAACATCCATAACATTCATCTGGCTGCTACTTAGAACTTATTTATCTAATATATCATATTCCAATCACTTGTATATAGACTCGTATTGCACTATTTCACTTTTTACTATTTTACTATTTTTCTTTTTGTATTTACTTGCACTTGCACTATTTGTTCTGTGTAGCCACTATCTGTTTTACTAGGCTTGTTTGAGACGAGCTGCGGCTCGCCTCGAAAGTAGACGAGAATAGCCGATCGCAGCCGGGGGAGGTCTCAAAAAGCTCGCCTGAAGTCGGACAGCTCGGAGTCGGCTTCTTCTTCTTCTTCTTCTTCTTCTTCTTCTTCTTCTCTCGGTTTTTTGGCGGATTTCAAACAACTTTAAGGTGCATACTGCCACCTCCGGAGTCGGCTTGACTCGGTTTGCATTTATAAATGCACACGGCATCTATTGCACGTCTGTCCGTCCTGGGAGAGGGATCCCTCCTCTGTTGCTCTCCCTGAGGTTTCTCCCATTTCCCCTTTAAACTGTGGGTTTTTCTCTGGAAGTGTTTCCTTGTATGATGTGAAACGTAAGGACAGAGGGTGTCGTATTGTCATACTGATATTCTGTACAAACTGTGAAGTCCACTGAGACAAATGTAACATTTGTGATATTGGGCTATATAAATAAACATTGATTGATTGATTGATAAAGAATGGACAAATGTGTTTAATCGTTAATGTCAGATATGTACTAAGTAAATACATTTGTTCCTGCTCAAGATTAGATTCAACTTTATTGTTATTGCACAGATTACAGGTACTGAGACAACGAAATGCAGTTTAGCTTCTAACCAGGAGTGCATAAAGCAGTAAAGTGAAAAGTAATGTACACAATCTACAGAATAAAATATAGAATGAATTGAATGATGAATAAACAGTGAGGGGTATGAATACACTATATACACAGTAGCCTAGCCTAGTATGAACAGTGTGTTGTATGAATATGCTAAGATATATAAAGTATGACAACGGTAAGCAGTGCAAGTATAGTATACAAATATATAGATATTAATTTAATGATGATAAACATTGTGGAACAATGATGAAAAATATGAATGGAAGTGGCGACGTAAAACTGACACAAAACAACAACACACTTTTGCCGAGCCAATGGAGAGTTTCATCCCCAGCACGGGGTAAAACCCACCAATGAGCGCTCAGCTCGAGATACCAGCAAGTCGTTTCCCATCAAGCATTTCGCTTCCGCAGCCCGTGGAGAGAAACTGCGCCGCCTCGCCGCGCCTCGCTCTCAAGTCTGCGGGCGTCTTTGTCCCGCGAGATTTCAACGTCTCATGTAGGCGAGCCTCCAGAGCAAGTCAGACAAAATGACTAACCATCATGCAACGCACTAGCAAGACGTTGATCGCAATTGCGCAGGTCTGCGCAGGTCTCGCTTGTCTCAAACAAGCCTATTGTGTTGCACTGTTGGAGGAGCCTGTGACCTAAGGGGGGGGGGGGTAGGACACGTTCTAAGCACATGGTGTAGTCCCATAGCTGAGGATTCTGGGTAGTGTAGTGTCTTCTGCCATCCACACACTCCGAAAAAATATTTGTTTCTCCGAATCGAAAGGGGAAAATACAAAAGCATTTTACACAATTTAAACCAATCAATGTTGTGTAATTAACAAGGATAATCTGGTGTTTTTGAGTTGATGAGTAGTGCAGATATCACTGTAAATAAAATCAATCGACAGTAAGGAGAATACTTACTTCCGGGTGTAAAATCCTCCGTTATCCAATGGGAATGGACGCTCAGCTCTTTGGGTCCGTAATACAATAAAGGGGACTTGATCAAATAGGAATATAATTATCTTTTAAATAACGTTAACTAAAGGGAACAATCTATTTGACACAGCTGAAGCTCTGGCCTTCCTTAAAAACCAACTAATTTAATAAAAATCACAGTTGTATTACACACAATGCACTGTTTTTTGAGAACAAACATTGGTAAATAATGCACCATAATACATTCTGACGAAAAATAAAAATTATTATGAATACAAATAAAATAAAAGAAGCCTCCTGTGAGTTACTACAAGCTATAAAGTAGATTTTAAAAACGTTTTATAGAATAAAAGCTCACTGCTGGACGTTGTAGAAATGCGTGTGTGCACCACGACAAAGGAGCCTCATTCACTTTACATTGGGGTTGTTTGCGTGGTGCAGACACGTAAATGTAGCAAAGTTCGTGACTCCACCACGCAATGCGGTGTTAAGGAGTCGTGGTGGAGTCACGCATTCTGGTGAGACCAGGTTGGCTTAACAGGTTAACGCTGAGTGTAAAAACTCCACTTGATGCATTTCACTGTTTGGGTGAGAGCATCATGGCGAAGCGCGCGCTCCCACGGCGCGTTCAAGGACCTCAGTAGAGAGTCGGCCCTTTCTGTGTCGACCCCCCATGGGCAGAGCTTCCCTTCACGCGGAGTTTTGCGGCGGGACGGGTCGCCAGAGAGTACCACAGCTTTATTGCTGGGGCCCCACAGCTAATTGCACATCCCCTAACACAGTGTTATGGGGAATGGAAGCGCAGCTGCGTGTTAACGGAGTGGATGGACAGGACGCTGAGACTGGGCTATTCATTCCAGTATTGCAGCATCCCTCCTCCGTTCACAGGCATAAGAGAGGCAAAGCTATCATCCCGAGGGGAGATAGGTTTACTCTCAGCAGAGGTTCAGGCCTTGGTGCAAAAACAGGCAGTGTCTGCTGTGCGCACGCAAGACAGAGAGGGGGGGCATTATTCCCTGTACTTCCTGGTTCCCAAAAAGACAGGAGAATTCAGGCCCATTCTGGATCTTCGTAGTCTGAATCTCCACATTGCACGCAGAAAATTCTGGAGAGGGGCCAGTTCACCTCCTGGGCCACTGCAGAAGTGCCCTTGAGCAAGGCACCTAACTGCTCACTGGTGCTGGCTAGACTGGCTGCCTCCCATCTGACCTCTCAACTGCATGTGTGCATATAACTGTGTGTGTATTTGTATATGTATGTGCATGTTGTAAAAAGTGTGTACTGTGTGTACTGTATGTACCTGTATGACAGAGTGGAAACTGAATTTCCCCCTCCGGGAATCAATAAAGGTCCATCTTCTTCTTCTTAAAAGAACCCACAACACTTTGAGGTGATAAAAACTCCTTTAAACTGCCACAGCGCATCTACAGCCTCTATGATTGTGGATTCTAATATATATGAAAATGTGCTAATCCAGACAGCAGTTATGAAAGTGCAGGGTCATGCATCGTAACTACATGCTACCAGGGCTTCCACCCCATTAGTAATATTTATAATTACTTATATTATTTTATAAGTTTGATAGGTTCCATTACCATGTAGGACATGAGAAGGAAAAGGCAATAAGGGAAAGAATAATGAAAGAAATAAGAAGAAAATAGAAGAAAATGTATCTTTATTGATCCCCCGAGGGGGAAACTCAGTTTTCCACTCTGTTTTATATACACACACGTGCAATATACACACACATAAATGTAAGTTATGTAATAAACAATTGCATTTGAAAACATTTGCCACACGAGTCCTCTTGAAAATAGTCAATTATAACGCTGTTTGTAAAGATAACATTGGGTAGCATAGCACTGATGGGCAAAAGCAACATTCTAATCACACTAAGTACAGTGCTAGTCAGTAATGAAGAGAGGATAGTAAAGTTAACTAAGTCAATATCCTATAAAATTACAGGTTGGACTTCTGTGAAACAGCCTGTTTGAAAAAAAGGCCAAACATAGCTTTTGTAAACATTGATGAGCTATAATATGTTTATACTGTGAGAAACCCTAACCCTATTTTCCATTCATCAACATCTCGATTCTTCACTACTGCTTCTGTGCAGTCACGTGACGCCACTGGACCGTGACAACATGTCAGGTTGCTAAGTGAGCTAGTAAGCTAGCTGCACTTAGCGGACCCAACGATGTGGCTAGAGGTAAAACCCCGCTTTGATTGGTGCCAGCGATCGAACAAGCATGGACTCAGAGAGATGAATCGACTTTGTCCGATATTGTAAATAAAGACCCGGACTCGGTAAGTTCGCCCTTCTTTAGCCACTACGTTAGCCCAGTGAAGACAGTCCAGTAAGCTAACTAGCTAGCGTTAGCGTTACGTGTTCGGCTGGCAGCATCAGCACCACAACGTTTACGAACACTTACGTTACGCAACGTTCAACGGTTTAACTTAAACGTTATTTTTCTAGGGCAGGATACGCGTTCACACCGGTTCACACTAACTGTACGGTAACGCTGAGCTGTGCTGCCAGGCTAATGGACACATGAGCTGCGGTGAGAGCAGGACAGGATGCTGCTCTCTGTCACTGAGTGAACACACACACTCACACACCTGCAGGCACAGATGATCTTTTACCAAACAAGGACATTTGTGCTTTTAAATAGCTTCAATATTATTGTTAAAAATACATATTGATTGTGCTGTTATTCACTATCATCTTACTTCAAACGATACAGTCCAGGTTCTGTAAATATCCCCTCTTTCTGTTTTCAAAGACATGTAATGTGTCATTGGAAAAGCACTAATGATGGCTTTCCTCCATCTGAGCATCAGAGTAATGAGCTGCCCCGGCCTGTTCACCATTCATCGTAATAAATACAGACAGAGAGTATATATTGGATTATTTTTCAACTATGACACATCGATAAAGTGGTGACAATGTCTTGAGTTACAACATTTATTTTTAAGAAGTCCTTAATTAAGCCTGCTAAGTGATTATTCTTTTAGTTTACACATTTAGGGGTTTATTGCCAGCCTTCTTCCTTGCATTTGGAAGTTTAAAGAGTGTTTCCTTGCCTGGTGTTCAACATGAGTTACCATGGCGATCTTCCCCAGTAAGAAGTGGTCCAGCAGGACTGAGAAAACAGAGTTAACCCTGAAGATACCTTGCTAACCCCAAATCCTGCTTCGAGTACAGTCTACTGGTAGGGGAACGTAGGGGATTAACATTGCACATGTTTGGAATTGAGACAGTTCGGAGGGGACAGCAGGGTTTTCTTGGGGGGACCGTAGATCACTGCAGTAACCACCTATGCAGGAATAACATAATAAAGAGAATGAGATAAAACCTTAACGTTAGGCTACTAAAAAGCGTCTTTGTCATGGGGAAAAGGAAATCAACAGGGAGCTAAAATGAATCATTGTCATGACCTATGTTTGTGCTAGCTAATTATATAGGCTAAATGACTAGCAACATTTTAAATCATTGAGGCAAACTGCATGGCATTGTAGTATACAGTCAAGTCCTAAAGGATAGCCTACTTACTGTGTCTCTGACAGGACTTAACATTGAGTCCAGTAAGTTATTATCACATTGATCTGGGTATAATTCAGTCTGGTCATTGATAATACTTAAGTCATGTATGATTACGTCTTTACGCAGCTTCTAGACAGAGCCATGATCTGTTTGGAGACCTATGCCAGGGAAAACAAATGTGCACATTTAGGTTAAAAAAATGCAGTTAACATCACTTTATGTGGTTTATTATTAAGTTATTGAGTTTACTTACTATACAGTAGTTTTAATTTATTCTAGAATGTATTGCAGTAACTTCTAAGACTTTCTGGGCGATTGTATACTTTATTTTTACAGGGTTACAGTTTTCCTTGATTCTTGTTTTAAGTCCAGGTGAAACTAGTTTGTCGTGTGAAAGTGCACAGTGGCCTGTGGTTCCAAAAACAGGTGCTGGGTCCCCTGACATTTTGTTTTGGGGGGGGGGGACATGACAAAGTTTAAGAACCTCGGCTCAATACAACACAAAGAGGTGTAGTTGAAAATGTAACATTCCATTCAGTTGTTTGTATGCTATTACCTTTATAGTAAACAATCCTTACTCTTAAATCAAGCCAACTTTATTGACTTTATCTAAAAGGAAGGAAAAAGCAGTGGTCAAGGAATCATTTGCCCATCAAAAAGTAAGCCAGTGAACTACAGCGACCCTGCTTAATTGTTAATAGAGCACAGTGAGGAGCTGTAAAGGTGCAGAGTTTCACTTCTGCATCACCATTGATGAGGCCCATTAGAGCTGTGTGTGTAATGTGAGAGAAAGTTGGTCCCTGTAGTTCAATTACTCTCTGTGAGAAACAACTCTAACCAGGCTACATAAATCAGATGCAAGTCAACAAGCATTGCCCTGAAGCTTCACACTAGCTGATGGATGTTTTCATTTGATTATTGATGCGTGTGGCCCATTGAAACGGGAGTATTTTACCTAACATCTCATGTGCGGTTTGAAGTCTTTTAACTGGTCACTGAATCTATTGAAATGTAGTTGCAGCTGAGTGTGATGATGCTCATGTTGTGTCTGGCTGCTGCTGGAGACGGTGTGGTGGTTCTGTGGCCCCCAGGCCCGGCCCACCTGCTCCCAGAGGTGTAACGGTCACACTGACACAGGAGCTGCTGACACGGTGACTCGTTTTTCTCTCCCCCGTGGGTTATCTTGCCAGGCAACGCTGCTCAGGCTCCTCAGGTCTCATTTGTGTGTGCACCTTGTTACCTAAGCTTCCGAGTGTTGAGCTGTTTATCTTTCCTATTTTTGTTTCACCGTCCTTTGACACTCAATGTTTATTCACATATTTCAGCCTCTGCCATGGCAGCTGGTGTCAGCATTCTGAGTGACCTGCCTTACTCCACGAGAGGAGCCTGCGGCGAAGAGATCAGCACAGAGATGGAGACGGGTAGGAAAGCTCTACACAAAAACAACACGACTAGCTGCTTGATCTTTTATTTTCAAAGCAATGGCACAGGACTGTACACTTGGTTTGGTGAACCGTTGAAAAATAAATTAACAAGAGTTAAGACAAGAGGCAGTGTGACAGCGTAGCAATTTGCAGCTTCAAGACAAATCTTTCAGGTGAAACAACAAGATTTCTTCAGGATTTTTGTAGCAGGACATTTGGTGTGAGGTGGATTTAGGAGTACTCCAGACTTGATTTAGGAAACATCAAATGTAATATCTGAAAGGTTTGTTGCTAAATGATTTAATGCTTACTTTACAGGTTAAGAAACATCTATCCACCTTATTTATACAATTACAATAAACAAGCAGCACCTCCTTCCTATCGATGCTAGTTATACAGTGTTTGGTGAATTAGACATCTGTGATCATGCGTTTTGACAGATCTTACCCTAAAAGGTATTTCTCTTTTTAATAATTCCATTCTTTATGATGCAGTCACAGCTGTAGATGATTTTATAAATAATTCTCATATGTCCTGTCTCTCTCCTATGTCTCCTATCCCTGCCATCAGAAAAAGGTTAAAATAGGTTTGAGTTGGACCTCAGACAATGTGTCTCCTTTGCAGTTTCCTAGACCATCTTAAAAAAATATGCATAATGGATACAAATAACCTTATAAAACTGTGGACAACTGTTCTATTCTTAGTTGTTTTACTGAATAAGAAAATACCTGACCATGATTGCCTCTTTATATTATATTATTGAGATCAAACAACAACATCACGTATAAAGTTATATACATCACTTTTATAATTGATGTATACAGTATAACCTGAAATTAATGAATAGATGTTTCATTAATATTTATTACATTTCTGTTATATTTCATACATTATTGTTATATTCAGTACATTTCTGTTTTGTTTTGCCGACTGTAAATTAGGGTTACCTTAATGGACACTAGCACTCAAAGCACAGTGAACAATAATTGCTATTGGGTTTTGCATTTCAGGGGGGCCCCCATACTGTAACCAACATTAAAAGGGTATTTTCCTCTTTTATTTACAAGCTGCTTTCCTCAGATCTGTGTTGTGTATCTGTCTGTGGGTGTGCAACATTCGTAGCGAGTTTAATTTGCCTCTCTTTGATCAATCTGAAACTAGAACGCCACTCCTTTGGGGGTTAGGGTAAGAGATGGCAGGCAGCGTGAGGAGGCACAACCAGAGTCCCGGGGTGACTTAGCCTCACCCCGGGATTCCACCGGGTCCGTCTGCGCCGCGTTACGGCTGCGCCGCGGCGTTCACAGCGAACGGTCAGAGCATCCAGTCAATCCCCAAAATAAACTAATTTTGCAGACCCTATCCCTCCGTAGTCTTTCAAGTAGGAGGAGAAATGCTAGCGTTCTCCTCCGGTTTACAGGCACTGTGTACATTTGCCTATATATATATATATATATATATAGAATAATTATTAACCACTAAAATACAGCAACACATCTTTGATTGATGTCGTTTATAACTGGACTATTACAATTATTATGAACTTTGTCTGTACAAAGTAGCCTGTCCAGGAAATATTCCCAAATCAACAAAAACTGCGAGCCTGCACGCAAGACGCTCCGCTTCTGAAACGCGCCCGATAGGGTTTGACGCTGTAGGAGGAACAAAACCGCGGCGCAGCCGTAACGCTACGCAGACGGACCCGGTGGAATCCCGGGGTCAGGCATCTTACAGGATGTCCTGAAGCGCTAGCAGAGCTCAGCCCTGGAGATCACCTCCTCCTGCTACAGAGGAACGGTGGCTGTCGGTGTCAACTCAGCCTCAGCTAGCTAGAATTGTTCTCGTTTAGAAACAAGACCATTACAGACTGTTCAATTGACCCAGTAAAGCTCACAGTAGCTTCTTTTTTACACCAGCATAGAGGTACATTTATTCAATAGTGAAAAGATTACAAATGTATAACTTTGATTTATAGCGCCGTGTTAACCAGAGCCAACGTGGCTGGTTGCGCTACTTCGGGTAGCCAGGATGGCGATCATTATCGGGAATCATTTCCAGCTTTACACACTGAACTTTTTGATTGCTATCCTTGCAACATCCCAGAACTCATAGTAACACGGTATCAAAATGGCAATAAAGAAGTACGCAAATAGATACACAGACTGAAAAAAAATGAAAGTGTTTAGCATTCAGGGCTTGAGTGTTATTTAAATGTTATGATGTTTTTTTTTTTTTCTGTTTGATTTTCTGAAAGCCAATGCTAGGATCCCTACAGCAAAGTACACCAAGATGGGGGAAACCCTGAGGCATGTCATCCCTGGTCACATGCAGTGTTCCATGGCCTGTGGAGGAAAAGCCTGTAAATATGAGAACCCCTCTCGCTGGAGTGATGAGGAGCAAGCCATCAAGGGACTCTACTCGTCCTGGTACGTTGGGCCATCTTTGTTTTCTTTTTTCTTTATTGTTTTTTTCCATATATAGACAATATATAAGACCGTACACAAACATCCTCAAGACATAACAAAATTAAGTTAAAAAAGTCACATAAATACCATAAATCAATTACATGACCTACACAAACATGTAAGGAAATATACAAACATGTAGGCAGATATGAAAGGCTTCCATCCTTCCTCCAGCAGAGGGACATTAATCATCTCCAGTTTGCTGACCCAGAGTACTCTCTAGATCTGCATGTTCCAGATAGTTAAGGAAAGGGCCCCATACTTTTTTTAATAGTTCTTGTTTTCCTTTAATTGAATAGGTTATTTTCTCTAATGAGACACATGCAGACAGTTCTTTTAGCCATTTTCCAATACTTGGACTGTTACATTTTTCCATGAAAGTGCTATCATGCGTTTTGCCTGTAGCAGACATACATTTAAAAATATTTGTTCTTTCTTCCTTATGTTGTGTTCTTTTGGGTAACACCCTAACAAAAAAAACTTGGGCTCCATGGTTAACTGCATTGATAAAATATCTTCTATCATAAATCTTACCTCTTCCCAAAACGTTTTTATCTTGGTACACTCCCAAACACAATGAAAACCTTTTCCCTTACATTTTCCACATTTAAAACATACATTTAAAACGTATGTTTTAAATGTGTCTGGGATATTACCACTAAATGTATTTAGCTTTTCTGGAGTAATATATATACGCATCAGCCAGTTCTATTGTATGAGCTTAAGACGGGTATTCACTGTTTGTGATTGAGCTTTCTTAAAGGCACCTTCCCACTCATCAATTGTCTTCCTGCAAATCCTACCTCCAATTTCTAAGTTTAGCTTCAGAGGACTCAGGGGAGCCAGATATAAGCAAGTTATAAAGTGCAGAAATTAAGTTTTTCCCCTACAGTCCCTTAACATTATTTTCTCTAGTGGTGAGTATGGAGGTATAGTTAGTAATTGTTTTTGGTTTGCTCCAATATAGCTTCTAATTTGTAAACATTTGAAAAAATGCTTCCGTGAAATGTTGTGCTTGATTGTAAGCTCCTCAAACGACATCAGTTTATCATCATTGACTATCGACTATATTATCTCCCTTATTGTTCTGTATTGACGTAATGGATCTTTCAATTTGTAATTGTTTAATGCGCCACACTAATATCTTTCCAGGCTTCTCTCCTTGATCGTAAAATGTTTGTTTGAGTCTTAGTAGACTTGCCACTGCTTTAGAAGCTGATCATTCATGATACTGGGACCTCAGTACTAGCAGTTCTTGTTGTACTTTAGGGCAGGGTTTCTGAAAGGCCTCACTCTCCAGGGTTTTTATTTTTGATTCCAACATTGTCATTTTATGACCAGCTTTTTGGGATTTAGAGCTTGTGTAGTTAATAATTTGGCCTCATATAAATGCTTTAAAAGCTTCCCATCTTATAGATGCTGATGTTTCCGATGTATTTGTCTCAAAATCGAAATCAATTGGTTTGCCAAGATACGGGACACAATCTAAATAAATTGGTTTGCCAATATACGTGACAATACCTTCAAATGTAAATCTTTCATAATATTAAGTAAGACTTCCCTGCTTTTGGTGTGTGGTTTATCTATGCCCCCTGACCGATCCTTTGTTGGATCCAATTAGGGCTGCAACTAACACCGATTTGGATAATCAATTAATCTGATAAAAAACCGCGCCAAAAAAAAAATGTTTTCCATTATTTTATTCAGAAAACTGCATTTCCAAATTGACAACATCAGCACACAAAAACATCCCAAATGTAGGCTATAAAACATATGTAAAAATTATATAACAGCTTGTTTTGAACAACAAAATATGTCTATTTAGGTTGCTCGAACAAAAACAATGTTCTTTCAAATTATCAACAATGATAACTAACATACAGTAACTCAGTGTAGGCAATACAACATGGACATTTTAAATGCTTGAATGGACCTGAGCATTTATAAATAATAATACATTATAAAAAATGATAAATTATAAAAAAATAAAAAATAAAATTGTGAATCACAAACAAAAGTGTTAACAGGCTTTGCTACAACAAATAGGTAGATTGTCTCTGCAGTTACACATTCATAAACTCACCCTCACAATCACGAACCCTCTGTCTTTCTATAGTATATTTACTTGAATAGACCTGAGCTTCTATAAGCTATGTTGAATACACACATCCCGCCCACCTCCTCCTAATTCTAATATCAGCCATTGGCTGTAAATGTGTCTTTTGCAAAAAAAACATTTTAGATTTCAGACTTTTTACTCTTTTTAAAGTCTTTGCAGGCCTCTGCAATTCCAGGAAGTAAATGTAACCTCCACACCCTGCGACATGATCTTTGACACAGATTAGGTTACCCACATGTACATAAAAATGCACATGTACGTACGTGCGTCTCTTTAATAACAATTTTTAACTCGAGCCTCAAATTCGCATGGCGCGTTCTCGCGGTAGCCAATCAGCAGTGAGGATCTCAGCCACTGACGTTGAATCAGAAAACGAAAGCAGCAGCCGTTAGCCGCCCCGTTTGAATGACAGGAGTAAACACAGCTGACAGCCGCAGTGAAACTCCAGCGATTAGAGCAATGCGAATATTCGCAATTATTTGTGTGAAAATCCTACCCTGTCCACCATACCTATCTAATGGGCAGTGAGCTCAGGAGGAGCCAACAAATGTTATGCCGCAAAATTCAAGATTATAAAAGTAGCAAAATATAATAAAAAGATGCATTCATTCTTAAACTGTAAACCGTTTTTTTAAGCAAGGCTTAACACAAAAGTAGCTGAATAGCTAATTATCAGGGACAAATTTAACTGAAATCACCAATCCCCATAAGAGCTGGCCTCTATAGTACTTATTAACTCAACCTCATTTAAAGCTATTGCTTTCAACCTTGTAACTTAAATACTATGGAGCTAATTTCCTGCCATAACTCCACAAACAAACTAAACAGGTTTTACAAATGCCTCATGATTCACTAACAAACACAATGTGGTTTGCCAATACAAAACACCATCTACAAACTAATGCATTTAGTTTTGCAAAGAAAAAATGTATCTATCAAACAAACACATAACATTTTTCTAATAAATCATGTTTCAGAGACAAATTCAGCATAGGTTTTACAAGTACACACTTTTTTTTTACAAGTACACAACTTTTTTTTTTACAAGTACAACATTTTTTCTTCTCACGGCGGAATATTACTGCCAAAAGTCACGTGACTCACTCACGTGACTTTTGGCAGTAATATTCCGCCGTGGCTGGCTCATACACACTCACACATGCTCACTCACACATGCTCCACGGAAGCAGGGGGCGCTACTGAGTCCATTGGGAAGGCGGGAGGTTGAGCAGAGCATGGAACAGCCCTTGCCAGCCTGATGACAGCAGTGTTTCTAGCGATCCAGCGATCTGGGTCAGTGTTATAGTGATAATATTATAAACAAGGTGAATTTAGCGATCACAGCGAAAACAGCCAAGACACATATTGAGCCCAGAAAATGAATGTTATTAGGGCTGTAAATATAATAAGCCTTTGTCTAAAATGGACAACATTGTAACTAAGGAGATTTAAACTATAGCCTACAGCGATTCTGCACTCAGTCAATCAGCTGCTCTTCATTTTCTTTCCTGCTATATTCAATGAGTGATACAAATATGTTTTACCATAAGTTCTGAATAAAACTGATACTGTTGGACTCGGTACTAGTTGACTGCTACAAGAAATAAAATGAAGTACTTTTAATGTGTACTTTGTGAGTAATCCTCTGTCAGAGTCCCCTCCTGAGTTCAATAATGCATGTTTCTCTGCTATTTTGAATAAGCGTTAAAACACCTTTCTCATGAGACTGATATTATTGGACAGAGTATTTTAAGAGGATGGTCGACATGATATCAGCAATACTTCCAGTCAGTACTCTGCCAGCAGCATTTTTACCCCTTGGAAAGTCTTTAGAGACTGGCCTGGATAGCTGGTCACAAATATCCTTCAGCAAAGTGACACACCCTTGTGACTCTTGTTGGCCTCTTATGGGGCTGCTGCCTTTTAATATATGATTATTTCTCTGCTCCTAGTTCATTCCTCTCAGATTCTTCCATCAGTCTCAGTCATCGCATGTCAGTCAATAGAGCTTCGAAAAATGTGTCCAATTCAACTAAATGTTTTTGTGAAGGTCAGAGCTAAATTATAGATTGTTTGATTGTGTAATTACTAGGGATGCTCCGATCGCCAATTTTGGGGCCGATCGCCGATCGCCGGAATCAGTATCTGCCGATACCGATCGCCGATCCGATCGAGTGGGCGGGGCCTAAATGGAAGATTTAAACATCACTTTAAATCTTCCATTTAAAGTGATGTTTAAAACTCAGTTAATGGGGCTCATTCACTGGAGCTTCCACAAACAACAATCAACTTAATTATTACATTCAAATTATGTATATTATTCAAGTTTACATTCACTTTGGATAATAACACGGGAGAAATGAGCAAGCGCTTTTCCTCTCTCTCCCTCTCTCTCTCCCTCTCTCTCTCCCCCTCTCTCTCCCCCGCTCTCCCTCTCCTGACAGCCCGTCAGTATCGTCTCATGCAGCTCGCTGATCCAGTAATGTGTGAGGCCGACAGTGAAGAATACACATATTTATAACTAGTTTAGCTTGTTCCAGAGGTAGATAAAATAGCTAAGTGTGTTAGGTCTAACTCTTGTGTGTTTCGCTCCACTCACCGCTCCGTCACAGCGAGTGGAGCTGCAGGATTTCTGCTTCACACACGTTGCATACCGCTATTTTACTGTCTTTTTCGGACACCTTAAAATAATGCCAGACCGGTGAAGCCATTTTGGCGAGCTTGTTTTGCCGCGCACAGAGAAAAGTGTCATGTATTTTACGTCATGCGATCGGCCCTCGCGATCGGCATGTTTAGAGAGCACCGATCGATCGGTAGAGAGTGAGTATCGGCAGATCTCGAT